CCCAAATTCACCTGCTGACGATGCGCTCGGTGCGCAGGGCCCGGCCCAGGGCCCCCTGCCTCAGTTTCCTGTTGAGCTGCAGGGCCACCCACACCTCGGAGCGTTCCGGGGTCAGGTCCAGGGGGGAATCGCCCTCCTTGTTCCGAACATCGGGATCGGCGCCGCGGGACAGGAACAGACTGGGGGAAAATGGGAAAAACTGGGTGAAAATGGGACAAAAATAGCACAAAAATATCCCAAAAACATTCCCAGAAACGTCCCCAAAACCGCACAAAAATATCCCAAAAATATCCCCAGAAATGTCCCCAAAACAGCACAAAACCATCCCCAAAATAGCATAAAAATAGCACAGCAATGGCACAAAAACAGCCCAAATAGCATGAAAATAGCGCAAAAACGGCACAAGAATATCCCAAAATTGGTACAAAAATATCCCAAAAATATCCCCAAAACAGCACAAAAATGTCCCAAAAATATCGTAAAAACCATCCCCAAAATAGCACAAAAATATCACAAAAACGGCACAATAATGGCACAAAAATATCCCAAAAACCATCCCCAAAACAGCCCAAAAAAGCACAAAAATATCCCAAAAATATCCAAAAAAATCACAAAAATATCAAAAAAATCACAAAAATATCCCAAAAACAGCACAAAACCAGCACAGAAATATCCCAAAAGCCATCCCTGAAACAGCACAAAAATATCCCAAAACCATCCCCAAAACAACACAATAATATCCCCAGGGTGAGCCCAAAATGGGACAAAAAAGCACAAAAACCATCTGAAATGTGGCCCCAAAACAGCACAAAAATACCCGAAAGATGTCACCAAAACAGCCCAAAAACAGCCCAAATCCTGCTTTAAATCCTACCCTGAATGTGACCCCAAAACAGCCGAAAAACAACCCAAAAATATCCCCGAAACATCCCAAATGTGATCCATTTGAAGCCCCCAGACCCATTTGAAGCCCCCAGACCCATTTGAAGCCCCCAGACCCATTTGAAGCCCCCAGACCCATTTCACCTCACACAATCATGATAACTCTCTCTCGCAGCGATGTGCAGGGGGTGTCCCCGTGGCACTCTGTCCCTGTGTCACTGTGTCCCCTGA